GCTCGCGCCGCTCCTCGCGCTCCTCGCGACGCTCCTCGCGCTCGCGCCGCTCCTCCTCCTTGCGCTCGCGCCGCTCCTCGCGCTCCTCGCGCCGCCGCCCCTCGCGCTCCTCGCGCTCCTCGCGCGCACGGGCCTCGGACTCGGCGTGGAGTTGGGCGTGCTCGTCGTCCAGCGCGCGGAGCGCGCGGCGCCGCTCGCGCTCGTCGACCTCCTCGTCCTGGACGATGGAGAAGAAGGACTGGATCCACTCCGGGTCCTCGTCGCCGCGCTTGACGTGGTTTTTGCACTGCGCTTTGCTCTTCGTGGCTACCTCAGCGGCGACCTTGTTCATTGTAGAGTAAGGCGCGCGTCCGCCGGGCCACCGCACGACGCCGTTCTCGCAGTCATAGCCGGCGCGCGCGAGCGCGGTGTACAGGGCCTTGGACTCATGCTGGTTCCACCTGTCGCCTGCTTCGCGCCCCGAGGAACAAAGCACTCCGCGTTCCTGCAGCTTCTGGACTTTACTCGCGACCTGCAACGGCGTGCGGGTGCCGATTTGATTCGCGATGAAGTCGTAGCAGAGCTTTCGCGTACAGTGTCTCGGCCACAGCCGCGTTAACTGTGCCTCCTCGCAGTCGGTCCATGCGTTTTTGCGCTTGCGCTTGCCTTGCGCCGCGCGCTTGCGCTTGCCTCGCTCGTCGCGCGCCAGGGCGCGAAGGTAGATCGGCTTAAATCGCGGTCGCGAGGTGGTTTTTGCCTCTATGATGCGGCCGTCAAGTTGCACGCTCTCACAACGCATCGCCCGGAAGAAACGACGACGATGGCCGAGGGCGTCTTCGAGGCGCTGCCCTGGCAGCAGGAGATCGAGTCCGCCGTGCGCGCGTCCATGGGCGAGATGCAACGCGAGGAGCACATGGTGATGATGAGCGTGCTGGAACGCCGGGAAGCGCTCGTGTCTGCAACCCGGACGCTCTCTCGCTCGCCGGCGGACGCTCGTTACGAGGCGCGCGTCAGCCCGACGCCGCGGCAGGGCCGGCCCAGGAGTAGACCTTGCGGCCCGGGAGGTCCGGCGCGGCGCACTCGCGCCAGACGTCCTCGCCCGGGTGGTCCCAGGCCGTGTCGCCGGTGAGGGAGTGCCAGTAGTAGGCGACGGCGTCGTCGTTGGTCATGCAGTACCAGCGCGGCGCGCCGGCCGGCGGCGCGCGGGACCACGTCGCCGTCGCCGTGTCGTAGTAGTTGCGGTCGTCGCTCCCCGCGGCCTGCGCGCGGTGCGGGGGTGTCGGGAGGGGGGCGGTCGCGGGCGAACGCGGGCGTCGCGCGGTCTGGACCTCGAAGCAGCAGGGCCGGTTCGAGTGCTTCGTGAGGAACTTGGTCGTCGCGCCGAGGTCGTCCGTGAAGGACTTCGGGTCCGGCGGCGCCGGATCGTCGGGCCGGGGCTTCCGCGGCGAGAGGCTCGCGGATTTCCGCGGCGTCGCGTCCGGCGCCGGGGGCTTGCGCCGCCGGAGCCAGCGGCCGACGTACTTGACGCCCTGGCGGAGGTTGACGCCCGTGGCCTTCTTGGCGGCGGGCCGCGCGGCGCCGGCCGACGCCGGCCGCCGCGGCTTGTCGCCGCCGGGCGGCCGCGGCCGCAGCGCGCTCCGCGGCGCGCCCGGCGACTTGGGCGACTTGCGGCCGCGGACGCTCTTGGCGTAGGGCGACCCGGGCGTCGGCGCGGCCGCGCGCGGCGAGCTCGCCTTCGCCGGGGGCGGCCGGTGGTCGCGGCGGCCGCTCGCCGGCGCCGCGGCGCGCGCGCCCCCGGCCGCGTCCGCCGCGGGCGGCGCGGGAGGCCGCCGCGCGGGGCCCGCGCACGCGCGCGGCGGCCGGCCCCGGCTCGGCCGCCGGGGCTCGTCACCGGCCGACGGCAGGTCCGTCGTCGACTTGCGCCGCCGCCGCGACGAGCTGCTCGCGGTCTCGAGCGCGTGCGTCGACGGCCGCGGGCTCCGCGCCCGGTCGCTCCTCGGCGCGTCGCGCGGCGCGGCGTCGGGCAGCGCCGACGAGCTCCGGCTCCGGGGCCGCGGGCCGCCGGGCGGGTACACGGGGCGGCTCGCGGACGCGGCCCGGTCGCGGCGCCGCTGCTCGTCGACGCAGCTCTCCCAGGCGCCCTTGAGCGACGCGAGCTTCTCGTTGCAGTAGGACCTACGGCGACGGCAGTGTCGCGGTCCCCGTCGAACGCGCGCGGACCGGGACGCCGGGGGGGACCGCGGCATGGCGCAGACGCGGCAGCAGTTGCGCGAGAGCTCGTTCGTGCGCCCGCAGACGCCGCAGGACCACGACAGCTTCAGGCTCGGCACCGCGGGCTTGGGCGCGGGGGGCTCGTCGGCCGCGCGCGCGGCCGCGGCGGCGCGCGCGGCCGCGCGGCGCCGCGCGTCCTCGGCCTCGCGCACGGCGGCGGACCGCACGGTCTCGCGGAGGTCGTCGCGGACCTCGCCCTCGTAGGCCGGCGGCGGCGCCGGGGGCGCCGGCGCCGTCCTCAGGCACAGCGTCGCGCCGTAGGGGCCCGGGCCGCCCGCGGCCGCGACGCCGCGGACGCGGACCTCGTAGGCCGTCGACGGCGCGAGGTTCTTCTTGCGGCAGGCCGTCGTCTTCACCTTCTGGTGCGTCGCCGGCCACGGCTCCGGCGGCCGGCCGACGAAGAGCTCGCGAAACTGCACGTGGTAGTGCGACACCGCCGACTCGCCGCCGCCGGCCGCCCATCTGATCGTCGCCGAGTCGCAGGCCGTCTCGAGCACCATGAGCTTGCACGGGGGCCTCGGCGCGGGCGGCGTCGGCGGCCGCTTGAGCGGCGACGCCGCGGGCTTCCGCGGCTTCGCGTCCGGCCTCCCGGGCGCGCGGTTCTCGTCGTTCGTCGGTTGTTTCGTCTTCGGCGACGCGCGGCGCCGCGCGCCCACAACATGAACCGGCTTGCTCCGGTCGTAGCGCGCCCGCGAAGCGTCGTCGCCGAGGACCTCCCAGGCCCGCTGGAGCAGGTGGAAGAGCTCCGTCGTCTTGCCGCCGCACTTATCCGGGTGGTAGAGCAGGCAGAGCCGCCGGTAGCTCTTCTTGACGCGCGGGCCGGCCTCGCCCGCGGGGACGCCGAGGGCGAGGTAGAGGTCGCCGTTGAGGCGCGCGAAGCACTCGGCGAGCAGCCCGCCGCAGTCCACGCACCCGCCGCCGCGCTCCTGGAGGATGAGCGCCGCGCAGCCGTGGAAGTCGTCGCGCGCGGCCAACGCCTCGGCGCGGCCGAAGGTCGACGCGTCGCAGCGCGCCGACGCGCGCAGCGTCGCCGTGAGGAGGTCCTTCCCCATATGGGCCTTAGGAGACGTCCATTTTGCAAACGGCGCTTTGATGGCTTTGATGCGGGCTGTTGCATCAACTTCTCATCAACATTGGCTTGGGCGAGCACGAGCATGGCTTCCCAGGTCGCGGCGACGACGCCCGACGCCGGCGCGGTCTACGAGCAGGCCGTGCGCGCCGTCATGGCGCGCTGGACGCTGCTGCGCCTCGCCGTGGACCAGGGCTGGTGCGACGGCGACGGCGCCGCCGCGGCCAACGGCCTCGTCGACGACCTCGTGGCCCTCGTGAGCCCGTCGGCGCGCAAGGCGCCCCACGTCGAGGACGTCGAGGACCTGCTCTTCGACGGCATCGAGAGCAAGTTCAACTCCCAGGCCGAGGACGGCTCCGTCGAGGAGATCGCCAAGCTCGTGATCTCGCTTCGCAACGAGTGCGCGGCGGGCGAGCTCGGCAACGCGCTCGCGGCGATCGCCCGGGCGACGCAGGCGCCGGCCCTGGCCCAGTGCGTGAGCCAGGGCGAGCCCGAGGAGAACGTCGACTCCGACGACGACATGGACGACGCGCCGCCGCCCGCGCTCGCCGCGGTGCCCGCGTTCGGCGCGGTGCCCGCGTTCGGCGCGCCCGCGGTTCCGGCGGCGCCCCGGGCGCCGCCGGCGCCGAGGCCGCCGCCGGTCGTCGACGAGGACGGCTTCACGACCGTGCCCGCCAAGGGCCGCCGACGGAAGTAGGCGGCCGTAAGCGTCGGTGGCTCTGTCTCTCGCGCGCGCGCGGGCATGGACGAGGCCGCGGTCCCGGCGTCGGGGCGCGAGCTGCCGGACCGGCCCTGCGTCCGGCCGAGGGCCGGGGTGCGCGGCGCGCAAACTTTGCGGCTGCTGCGCACGGCCTCAACATCCTGCGAGGCGGCTAAAGCTGCAGAGCGCTCGCTGTCGGGCAACAGGGTGAGACGCCTGCCGAAGCGCATCTCGCCGCCGCCCCTAGCGCCTCGCCGCCGCGCCGCGTCGCCGCCGCGATGGACACGCTCGCCTTCGAGGACATCGCGCCCGCCGTGGACACGTTCTGCCCGCCCGCGCCGCCCGACGACGCCAACCTCGAGGCCGCCTCCGAGCAGCTCGGCGACCTGGGCCTCGACGACGAGCCCGCGCCCGCCTGGGCCTGCAAGTACTGCGGCATCCGCGACCCGAGCGCCGTCGTGCGCTGCGTCGAGAGCGACAAGTGGTTCTGCAACAGCACGGGCGGCACGTCCGGGTCGCACATCGTCCAGCATTTGGTGCGCGCGAAGCACAACCAGGTCTGCCTCCACAAGGACTCGCCGCTGGGGGAGACGGTGCTGGAGTGCTACAACTGCGGCTGCCGCAACGTCTTCCTGATCGGGTTCGTGCCCGCGAAGACGGAGAGCGTCGTCGTGCTGCTGTGCCGCGTGTGCGTCGAGACGGTGCCCGCCTTAAAGTCCATGGACTGGGACCTCGACGAATGGCTGCCGCTGATCGCCGACCGGCGGTTCCTGCCGTGGCTCGTGCGGGAGCCCGAGGAGGACGCGCAGCGGCGCGCGCGCGCGCCGTCGGCGGCGCGGATCCGCGCGATCGAGGAACTCTGGGCGCGCGCGCCCGACGCGGACTTTGGGGACCTCGACGCGCCGGGCGCGCTGCCCGAGGACGACGCGCAGCCCGTCCTGCTGACGTACCAGGACGGCTACCACTACCAGAATGTGCTCGCGCCGCTCGTCAAACTCGAGGCGGACCACGACCGCCGCGTGCGCGAGGCCCAGGCGCGCGAGGACGTGTCCGTGCGCTGGGACCGGGGCCTCTCGAAGCGCCACATCGCCATCTTTTCGTTGGCGCGGGGCAACTCCTACGCGTCCTACGAGTCCAACGAGCTCCGTTTGGCCGTCGGCGACGAGCTCAAGATCCGCCTCAACTCCGGCGGCGCGCGCCAGCACGGCAAGCCCTGGGAGGCGTCGGGCCACGTCCTGCGCCTCGCCGACGGCGAGATCGCGCTGGAGCTGCGGACGTCCAATGCCCCCACGGAGGTCACGGAGTGCGGCTTCGTCGTCGATTTCGTGTGGAAGGGCACGTCCTACGACCGCATGCAGAACGCGTTGAAGAATTTGGCCGTCGACGACACGTCGCTGAGCGGCTACCTCTACCACCGGCTCCTGGGCCACGACGTCGAGCCCCAGGTGTTGAAGGGCGGCGCGGCGGCGTCGAGCAGCCGCCGCGCGGGCGTTCCCGGCCTGCCGGACCTGAACCACTCCCAGGCCGCGGCCGTGCGCTCCGTCGTGACGCAGCCGCTGTCGCTGATCCAGGGGCCGCCGGGCACGGGCAAGACCGTGACGTCCGCGGCGATCGTCTGGCACTTGGCGAAGCAGGGCATGGGGCAGGTCCTCGTGACGGCGCCGTCGAACATCGCCGTGGACCAGCTCACGGAGAAGATCCACGCGACGGGCCTCAAGGTCGTGCGTTTGTGCGCCAAGTCCCGCGAGGCCATCTCGACGTCCGTCGACCATTTGACGCTGCACACGATGCTGCGCGACATCGACACGCCGGAGATCGCGGAGCTGCGGAAGCTCATGCGGCTCAAGGAGGACCAGGGCGAGCTCGCGCCGGCGGACGAGAAGCAGTTCCGCAAGCTGCGGGCGAACACGGAGCGCGTGCTGTTGAAGGCCGCGGACGTCATCTGCACGACGTGCGCCTGCGCCGGAGACCCGCGGCTCGGCGGCTCGCGGTTCCGCCAGGTGCTCATCGACGAGGCGACGCAGGCGACGGAGCCCGAGAGTCTCATCCCCATCGTCCTCGGCGCGAAGCAGCTCGTGCTCGTCGGCGACCACCAGCAGCTCGGGCCCGTGATCATGTGCAAGGGCGCGGCCAAGGCCGGCCTCACGCAGTCGCTCTACGAGCGCTTGGTCGCCCTGGGCATCCGGCCCATCCGGCTCCAGGTCCAGTACCGGAGCCACCCCTGCCTCTCCGAGTTCCCCAGCGCCATGTTCTACGAGGGCACGCTCCAGAACGGCGTCTCCGAGGGCGAGCGGGTCGAGCGCGAGCTCTTCCGGCGGTCGCGGCGGTCCGCGCTGCCGTCCAAGGACCTCGAGGGCGAACCCCGCTTCCCCTGGCCGAACCCGGAGGCGCCCATGATGTTCTACGTCTGCGCGGGCGCCGAGGAGATGTCCGCGTCCGGCACGTCGTTCCTGAACCGGTCCGAGGCCGCGTCGATCGAGCGGCTCGTGACGCACTACCTCAAGCTGGGCCTCGACCCGGACCAGATCGGCGTCATCACGCCCTACGAGGGGCAAAGAGCGTACGTCGTGCACCACATGGCGTCCGCCGGCGCGCTGCGCGCCGACGTCTACGAGCGCGTGGAGGTCGCGTCCGTCGACTCGTTCCAGGGCCGCGAGAAGGACGTGATCATCCTGAGCTGCGTGCGGTCCAACGAGCACCAGGGCATCGGCTTCCTCAACGACCCGCGGCGGTTGAACGTGGCGCTGACGCGGGCCAAGTACGGGTTGGTGATTTTAGGGGCCGCGCGCGTCTTGGCGCAGGACGCGCTCTGGCACGAGCTCCTGACGCACTTCAAGAAGCTCGGCTGCGTCGCCGAGGGGCCCCTGGGCAACCTGAAGGTTTCTTCGCTCGCCCTGCCCAAGCCCCGGCGCGGCGGCGCGGGCGCGGAGCACCGGCTCCGGCGCACGGCGCTCGCGGGCCGCGGCGGCGCCGAGGGCCACTTTGCGCGCGCCGCGCGCGACCACGACCGGTCCCACTGGGACGGGCGCCTCGACCCGGACTACGACCGGAGCCGCGTGCGCCGCCGCGACGTCGACGCCCACGGCCACCCCCTCGACTACGGCGGGCCCCGCGGCGGCCACCACGACGGCTACTACGGCGCCGCGCCGCCGTCGGACTACGCCGCGCCGTCCTTTGGGAGCCAGAGCCAGGGCGCCCACGACTACGGGCTCACCCAGTCCCAGTCCATGCACCCGGGCAGCCAGAGCCAGTACGGCTCCCAGTCCCAGTACGCGTCCCAGGCCTACGGCACGCAGCCCGGCTACTCGCAGAACTACTCGCAGTCGCAGGGCGGCCCGGGCTACTCGCAGAACTACTCGCAGTCCCAGGGCTACTCGCAGCAGGACGAGAACTACCTGCCGCCCTACTAGGCCGGTTGGCGGTGTCGTCTTCCGGATTCCTCCGCGCCCGGCGCGCGCCCGCGCGCGCGCCGGCCGCGCCGGCGCGCGCCGCGCTCCCGCGCGGCCGCCGGCGACCTCCCTCGGCGCCGCCGCGGCGCCGCCGACTCGGCGCCGTCGCTGCGCCATCGACTCGGCGCCCCGCTCGCGGCGCCGACCCCGGCGTCTTTTCGGACGCCCGCTCCAGCGACCGCGCGGCGCGTCACGCGTCCGCGGCGCTTGACCGCGTCGGGCGCGTCGCGCTCCTCCCCCTTGCCCCCGCCTGTGCTGTAAAGGCGAACGGTGTTTGCCCCATGGTCTCAACAATGGCAGTAGACCCTGACACGTATCCGGGGATCCGGAGGCATGTTGCGCGCCACACGTAAGCTACTTAAAGTTGTACTTGTAAGCAAGTTTGTAAGCTCCTGATGTTGTTGTGAAACTCCGACAGCCCGATGTGTTCGCAGAGCTAGCCCACATGTCGCAGCGCATCAGCGTGTCCGTGCGCGTCCGGCCGCTGCGCAGCCCCGACGGCGCGAGCGCCGTCGCGCCGACGAGCGGCGGCGGCATCGCCGCCAAGGGCAAGCGCTACGACCGCGCCTTCGACGCCGTCGTCGAGGGCTCGGACCAGGCCGTCGCCTACGACGCCATCGCCGCGCCCCTGTTCCGGGCGCTCGGCGAGGGCTACTCCTGCACGCTCCTCGCGTACGGCCAGACGGGCAGCGGGAAGACGCACACGGTCTTCGGCCCGACGGGCTGCCTCACGGAGCGCGCGGCGGCCTCCGAAACCGGCCGCGCGGACTGGGGCCTCTTCCCGCGCGTCGTGCTCGCGCTGCTCGCGGACGGGTCCGGCGCGCTCCACGCGTCGGCCGTCGAGGTCTACCAGGAGCGCGCGTTCGACCTGCTCAACGACCGCGCGCCGCTGACCGTGGGCGGCAAGAGCGCGGGGCTCAAGGTCGGCGGCGGCGGCGCGAACCACACGACGGACTACCGCGCGAACGTCGCGCACGAGGGCACGCATCCCCACGGCTGCTCCTGCCGGAAGTGCATCCTCGCGAAGGAGCGGGAGGCGGCGGAGCGGCGGCGGCGGATGAGCGAGCGCGACGCCGGCGCCGGGGCCCGGCCGCCGCGCCGGGCCGCGCCGCCGTCGGACGCCGACGAGGACTTCGCGACGGTCGGCGAGACCGTCGTGCGCCTCGCGAGCGCCGCGGACGTCGCGAGGCTCGCGCGGACCGTCGAGGCGACGCGGCAGCACGTCGGCCACGCGCTCAACGACCGGTCGTCGCGGTCCCACTGCCTCGTGCACCTGCGCGTCGCGGTGAAGCGCGGGTCCAAGGTGCACCGGAGGCAGCTCCTCTTCGTCGACCTCGCCGGCTCGGAGCGCATTTTGAAGTCGCGCGTCGAGGGCGCCGCGCGCGACCAGGCCATCATGATCAACGCGTCGCTGACGGCGCTGGGCAAGGTGATCAACGCGCTCGGCGCGAAAGCGGCGCACGTGCCCTACCGCGACTCGACGCTCACGATGCTCCTCCGGGCCTCGCTCGGCGGCCGCGCGCGCGCGGGCGTCGTCGTCTGCGTCGCGCCCGACGCGGACCACGGCGACGAGAGCGTCTGCTCCCTCGACTTCGGCGCGCGCATGGCGACGGTCCGGACCGCCGCCGCCGTCGCCGCGGGCGCCGACGCCGGCGACGAGCTCGCGGACGCGCGGCGGCGCCTCGGCGCCGAGGCCGCGCGGCTCGCGGAGCTCGAGCGCGGCGGCTTCGGCGAGTGGTGGTCGCCGGACCCGCGCTACCGCCACGAGGTCGACATGCTCAAGGCGAACATGGCGCGGCTGGACCGCGAGGACGGCGCCGCGCGGGCCGCGCGCGTCCGCCTCGCGGAGTCGTCCCGCCCGGGGGACGCCGCGGCGCTCCGCGAAACGCTCGAGCGGCGCGAGAAGGAGGCGCGGAACTACCGCGACATCGTCGACCGGCAGAAGACGATCGAGCGCATCTACCGCGCGCCGAAGCCCGCCTACGTCGCCCAGGCCGCCGTCGTCCGGGACCTGCGGACGCGCGTGGACATGCTCGGCGCCGACTAGGCTTAGCGTCATCGCCGCCCCGCGCGCCCGCTCTGGCTGACCGTCGTCGCGCCGTTCGAGTCCGCGGCGCAGTAGTCGAGCGTCGTGAGGTCGCCGTCGTCGAAGTAGGAGAAGTCGAAGGTGCCCTTGAACTCGACGCCGACGCTCGACGCCGCGGGCCCGCCGCTCCAGAGCGAACCCGCCTCCGCCGCGGCGGAGTTGAGGTGCGCCTTGTAGGGGCGGCCCGCGGCCGCGAGCCGCGCGGCGACGGCGTCGAGCGCCGTCGCCGGCAGCTGGACGCCGAGGTGCGAGTCGAGCCAGCGGTCCCAGCCTTCGTTCTCGCCCGTGAAGCGCTCGTGGGCCCGCTGGACGTCGCCCTCGAGCGCGGCGAGCGCGCCGTCGCCGCCGCGCCGGGAAGCGATCGCGACGTCGAGGTCGTACTCGAAGGTCCCGCCGCCGGCGAGGGCGCTCGCCTTGCCCGAGAAGGGCAGCGCCAGGGCCGCGACGGCGCAGCCGTCGCCCGCCGTTTCTTCCGCCCCCAGCGACGCGCCGCTGAGCGTCGCGTCTTCGAGGAACGCGACGAAGGGGTCGATCGCCGTCGCCGCGACGGACGTCCCCACGGCCAGCAGGTCCGGCAGCCCCCGCGCGTTTTCCAACTCGCCGCCGAGGCGCGCCCACGTCGCCGCGAGGTCCGACACGTTCCGCCGGAGCGCGAGGCCGCAGCCCCGGAGCGGTTCAAAGGTGCCCGTCGCGTTGCCCGAGACGACGGCGACGAGGTGCCCCGCGTGGGGCGCGGCGGCGAAGAGGGCGTGGTAGGGTGCGCCCGACGGGTCCGCGGCCGTCGCGGCGCGGTAGGCGACGCCGCCGGCGTCGAAGCGCGCGAGGAACGGATCCAGGCGCGGCGCGAAGTACGTGACCACATTGCCGGAGAAGTCCGACGCGAGGCCCGCCTCCAGGAGCTCGGCGACGCGCGCGTTCCAGAACGCGACGGTGCGGTTGCCCTCGGGCGTGCGCCGCGACTGGAAGTAGTGGAGCTCCCAGGCGCCGAGCGACGACAGGACCTCGCGCGTCGCGCAGGGGCCGCCGGCGTCGGCGTAGGAGCCGTTCGCGGCCAGCTCAAGGCCGAAAAAGGGGGGCGCGGGCGAAGGCCGCGTCCGCCGCGGCGCCGGACGACGCGAAGGTGCGCTTGAACAGCTTGAACAGGTAGGCTTTATTTGTCGTGGCGGCGGCGGCGGCGGCGGCGGCCGTCGCGGCGGCGGCGGCGGCCGTCGGCGGGCGCCGCGACGCCAGCAGCGACGCCGCCGGCTCGCCGCGCCGCGTGCCGAGGACCACGAGCCCGGCGACGACGAGCGCCAGGAGCGGTGGCGACGCGCGGCGGAGGCTGCCCATCGGATGGTCAGCCAAATCGGCCAGGCCTAAGTTTCTGCAGTGTTTCCCATTGGCTGCCCGCGCGTCACCGATGGGCCGCCGGCGGGCCGTGGCCGTCGCGTCCGCGGCGGCCGTCGCGGCCGCGTACGCCGTGCCCGCGCTGGACGTGGGCCGGCGGTCGCCGCTGGGCTGGACCGACGCCCACAACGTCGCCTACGGGCTGCCCGTGACCCCGGAGGCGGGCGTCGTCGCCGACGTCGACGCGCTGGCCTTCCTCGGCGGCGCGAACGACGACTACCTCTGCGCGCGCAACGACTACGGCCAGACGGCGCTCCACCTCGCCGTGCGACAGAACCGCCTCGATTTGGTGGATTTGTACGCGCGGCGGCGGCTGTGCCTCGACGCCGCGAACTTGGACGGCGACACGCCGCTCCACTACGCCGCCGTCTTCCAGCGCACGGACGCCGTCTGGATGCTGCTGGGCGCCGGGGCGGACCCGGGCGCGACCAACGCCGACGGCGCGACGCCCCTCGACGACGCGCGCGAGAACCGCGCGCGGACCGTCGTCGCCGTCCTCGAGGCGGCCCGGTCGCACCCGCGGACGCCGGCCGCGCGGCGCGGGGAGCTGTAAGGATAGAGGTCGTGCGACTCCTCATGTTGCCTGCTCGACTGCTCGACGAGCTTACGGCGAGCATGGTTTGCCGAGCCGTCAACATAAAGATTGTATCTCTTCAAGAATGATGTCGTGGTCGCGGCGCTTCGGCGAAACCCGCTGCCTTCCTATCCACGCAAGACCAGCAACCGGGTTTGCGCCCCTCCAAAACCTCTCCGCCACCAACCCAGACCGGCCTGCATTGCAGGCGCAGCTCTCGAGCGGCGCCCATGGACCCGGAGGCGCGGCGCGCGGCCCTGAAGATCTACGGCGGCGCCGCGGCGGGCCTCGGCGCCAACGTCGTGGGCATCCCGCTGGACCGCTTCCGCGTCGAGGTCGCCCAGGACGTCGCCGTCGCCGAGCCCGTCGCCGACCACCTGCGGCGGTCCGCCGGGCGGCTCGTGCGCGCGCCGCTCGAGTCCTACGCCGGCGGCGCGGCGCGCTGCGGCCAGAAGGGCTTCTCGGCGTCGCTGAATCTGCTGGTGCCCCGGGACGTCAAGGACGAGAGCCCCTTCGCCGCGTCGGCCGCGGCGGGCTTCGCCTTCGCGCCCGTGCTCAACGCGTTCCGGATCCTGCAATTGGGAAAGATCAACATGTTCTCGTACCAGCGGACGTGCCTCTCGTACGCGTCGCCGGAGGGCCTCGCGAAGTTCGCGAAGAACACGGCCTTGTTCGCGCCGGGCGAGGCCGTGCGCATGATGACGTGCTTCGGCACGAAGGACGCGCTCATGAATTTCATGCCCGCCCGGCTCCGCGAGCCGCCGACGACGGCCGCGGGCGTCGCCGAGCGGTCGCTGCTCCTCGCGGCCGCGCTCGGGCCCGCCGTCGCCGTCGTCGAGACGTCCGTGTCGCTCGCGACGGAGACGGCGACGCTGCTCAACGCGCAGGCCGCGGGCGAGGGGTCGCTCCACGAGGCCATGGCGCTGGCCATGCGGCCCGCGTACCTCTCGCGGTGCTGGGTCGCGCTCCTCGCGAAGAACGTCCTCGCGAACTCGACGACGTTCTTCTTCATGTTCGCCGCGGACTTCGCGTCGCACGCCTAGGTCTATATTAAATCGGAAATCGGAACTTAGGAGCGGTGCCGGCGCGGGGCGCGCGCGCGCGCGGAAAAAGGGCCCGGGGGGAGGGTCGCGGCGGCGCCTTCAGTAGCGGTGGCGCTTGTCGCAGCGGAGCACGGCGGCGCAGGCGCGCTTGCTGAGCGTCGTCTTGTTCTTGGCGAGGACGCCGTCGAAGTCGACGCGGGGCCGCGCGGCGACGTAGGTCGACGCGAAGGCGGAGAGGCGCGTGCAGAACGTCGTCACGCGCGCGCCTAAAAGCCCCAACGCCGACGCGAGCTTGCGGTGGAGGAAGGAGCCGAGGAGGAAGTGCTCGGCGAAGACGCGGACCTCGATGGCCCGCGCGTCGCCGCAGAGGAAGTCCGCGACGGCGACCGCGGGCCGCACGGGCAGCGCCGCGCGGACGACGCGCTGCCGCGTCGCGCGGCGCGCGAGCACGCGCGCGGCGCGCGCGGCCGTGTGGCGCTCGAGGAGCTCGAAGGGCCCGTCGGCCGCCGCGCACCACTCGACGAGCAGGCGGCTCCGGAACTTCCACGCGGCGAACTTGCCTGGGCAGGAAAAGAGTGCGAAATGCCCAACTTCAAAGGCGGCCGTTTTTCACTCGTTCCGGCTGATTCTTGGACGAGCGATCATCCCTCGGAGCGCTCTCGAAGCGTGCATCATTGTTCCGACACACACGCTTGCGACATTCACATTGAAGTGACCTTGGATCACTCTTTTCCCGCCCCGGAACTCGCGGCGCACGCGGTCGTCGAACGCGCGCTCCGCGGCGCCCAGGAGCCCCTTCCAGTCCGGCGCGCCCGGCGACGCCGCCGCGCGCTCGAGGAGCGCCGCCGTCCAGGCCAGCACGGCGGCCTTGAACTCGGCGACGACCGCGGACTCGGCGTTCGCGTCGCAGAGCACGAAGCGCGCCTGGCGGAGCGCCGCGCGCGCCGCGTTCGCCGCGCGCGTCGCGGCCTGCGCGTCGCGCCGGCGCGCGTCCGCCGCCGCCTCGAGGGCCAGCGCCTCGCGCCAGCGCGCCGGCGCGCGGTCGGCGTCGCCGGGGCCCCGGCGCCGGCCCGGGGGTCCGAAGATTGCCGCGGCGACGCCGCGGCCCGCGCCTGTGTGGAAACCAAATCTTCAACCCGACTTCAATGTGCGCGTACGCGACAGTTTCGACGCAACCCTTCGACTGTGCTTCGAGAACTCGACGAGAGCGATCGATTCGTCCAAAAATCAGCCGAATCGACTTCGATTTGACCGAGCTAGAGAATTCTGAAGTTTGGTCAGGACCACCAAAACCAGTGGTTGGTTTCCACACAGGCCCGCGCCCGCCTCCGCGAGCACGCGCGCGTCGACGGGCTCGGGGCAGACGAGGAGGCGCGTGCCCGCGGGCACGCGGTGGCGGTCGTCCTCGAAGCGCACGTAGGTCGCCCCGGGCCGCTCGAGGAGGTGGCCCCGCGGCAGATCGTACGCGGACACGTAGGGCAGGAGCGGCCGGTCCAACACGACGGCGTCGCGCATGGCGAAGCCCCGGCGGCAGCCCGGGCACCAGGCGCCGTAGGACGCGAGCTGCCGCCAGAGGCTCAGCCCCGGCGACGCGTCGCCGGGCTTCGACGTCTGCCGGAGCACGGGCGCGAGGTCCTCGCGGCAGCACGGGCACCGCACGGACTCCCCGCCCGGCTGCTCCGCGTCCTCCGCCGGGTCGAAGGGGCCCGGGTCCCGCGCCGCCAGCAGCGCCGTCGGCACGACCCAGCGGTCCTCGGGGCCCGGCCGCCAGGCCCAGCGGCTCGCGGCGCCCGACCCGTCGCGGCGCAGCACGCGCGCCGCGCCCGCGCGGACGACGACGCTGCAGGCCATGGGCCGCTGCCAGTCGTCGACCTCGCGCTCGTGGAAGAAGGGCCGCCCCTCGAGCATCGGGGGGCCGTGGCCCCGGCGCCGAGCCCAGGAGTGGCGCTCGTAGAGCTCGAGGTAGGCGTCGGGGTCCGCGACGTGGTGCTCCAGCGTCGGCACGCGCAGGGCCCGCCGCGCCGCGTCCTCGGGGGCCTCGGGGCCCAGCACGACGGCGTCGAGGCCGGACACGGCGTCGAGCTCCGGCGCGTGCTCCATCCGAAAGACGACGACGACGACGGGAGCAAAGCAGCCCGAGTGGATTTCGTCCCGGGCGGGTCACCTTCGGCGTATTGCGATGCTGAGTTTCTTCTTGAACAGGGCAGCCCACACACGCTCTTGTGGCAGAGGCCTCGTGCCGAAGCACTGCGACTGCGACGGCGACCGCTGCAGCTCCGCGATGGCTCTCCTCCTCGCCGCCCGGCGCGCGTGCTCCGGTGCGCTTGCTCCGATGCGCGTCGGCCACGCGCTCGCGCCGACGGCCGCGCGCTGCGCCGCGGCCCGCTGGTCGCGGCCGCTGTCCGGCGACGCGCTGGAGCCCGGCGCGTCTGCCGTCATCGAGACCCTGTTCGAGTCCGCGGTCAGTGCCCACGGCCCGACGGTCGCCGCGCTGCCCGACGGCAAGGAGAAGCTCGAGTTCTACGCCTTCTTCAAGCAGGCGACGGAGGGCGACGTCGCGGGCGACCGCCCGGGCGTGATGTCGTTCGTCGCGCGCCACAAGTACGACGCGAGGAAGCTGCTCGCGGGCATGCCGCGCGCCGTGGCCATGCAGGCCTACGTCGACCGCTGCGCCGCGCTCGCGCCGGCGGGCGACGCACCGGACCGGAAGGTCTGGCCGACCTTCGAGCCCAAGCGCGGGCCCATGCTCCCCCCGGGCTGCTTCGAGGGCAAGGTCGCGCTGGTGACGGGCGGCGGCACGGGGCTGGGCCGGGGCATGGCGACCATGCTCAGCCACCTCGGCGCGACCGTCGCCATCGCGTCGCGGCGGCTCGACGTGCTCGAGGCCACGGCGGCCGAAATCGAGGCGGAGACGGGCAACCGGGTCTTCCCCGCCGCCATGGACGTGCGCGACGGCGCGGCCGTCGTACGGGCGCTCGACGCGGTCGAGGCGAACGTCGGCGTGCCCGGCGTCGTCGTCAACAACGCCGCGGGCAACTTCATCGCGCCCAGTGACCGCCTGTCGCCGAACGCGTTCTTCACGATCGTCGACACGGTGCTCTGCGGCTCGGCCTACGTGACCCTCGACGTCGCGCGGCGCCTCCGCGACGCGAAGCGCGGCGGCGTCTTCTGCTACACGACGACGACCTACGCGTCCACGGGCTCGGGCTACGTGCTGCCGTCGGCCTGCGCCAAGGCGGGCATCGAGTGCATGATCAAGTCGCTCGGCGCGGAGTGGGGCCGCGACGGCATGCGCTTCGTCGGCATCGCGCCCGGGCCCATCCCGACGAAGGGCGCGTTCTCGCGCCTCGACCCGACGGGCCAGTTCGAGAAGGCCATGCTCGACATGATCCCGGCGAACCGCGCGGGCGTCGTCGACGAGATCGCGAACCTGACCGCGTTCCTCTGCAGCGAGTACGCGTCCTGGATCTCCGGCGAGATCGTCACGCTCGACGGCGGCGAGACCGTCTCCAACGCGGGCGAGTTCAACCAGCTCCGCCAGGTGACGAACGACCAGTGGGACATGATGGAGGCCATGATCAGGGACACGAACAAGAAGGGGTCCTAGGAAGCCCTGGGTGCGCGTCCCGCGCGTAAACCCCTGGTCATCAATTGAAGCCGTCGTTGCAGCGGCCGCAACGGCTCCCGGGGCAGCCATGAGCATGGGCCCGCCCCCCTCGCGCCGGCCGAGCTCGGCGCCCGCCGGGCGCGGCGCCCGCCGCGGCGGCTTCGGCGGCGCGCCGCGCGGCACCTTCGACGCGCGGACGCTCTACGAGGTCGACGACGGCCTCGGCGGCTTCGGGCGGACGCGCTACGTCCAGCGCAAGGCGGCGCAACCGGCGCAGCGCGTTTCCGCGTTCGGCTCCTACGTCGGCTCGCACCCGGGGCGCCGCGCCGACAAGGGCCGCGGCGTCTCGAGCGTGGGCTTCCAGCCGGAGCGGCTCATCGGCGGCGGCGCGCTCGACGGCGGGAGGGACCGGCGGACGCAGTTCGCGCTGCCGCTCCACGACGCCTGCTGGCGCGACGACGTCGGCCGCGTCGGTGCGCTCCTGGACCGCGGCGCCGCCGTCGACGCGCGCGAGCTCTACGGCGAGACGCAGGCCGTCCACGTCGCGTGCTCCGCGAACGCGGTCCGCGCGCTCCGGCTGTTGCTGGACCGCGGCGCGGACGTCGACGCGCTCGCCGTCGACGACGTCACGCCCTGCCACGCCTGCTGCGGCCGCGAGGACGCGAGCGACTGCCTCGAGCTCCTGCTGCGGCGGGGGGCGGACCCGACGGTCCGCGACGCCCGCGGGCGCCCGCCGCTGCACAAAGCCAAGACCTTCGACGCGGCGAAATGCTACCACCTCCTCCTGCCCTACGCGGGCCGGTCGCGGCCCGCGGCGGCGGTCCGCAGGAAGACACCCGAGCAGAAGCGGAAAACGGCCCAGGCCTGGGACGCGGCGGACCTGTACCGCGCGCGCCGCAACGGCAGCCGGCTCCGGCCACCGCCGGGCGGCGACTCGCACGTGCGCTATTAGTCGTAGGCCGCCCTCACGGCGGCGAAGTCGTCGTGCGCGTGGCCCCGCTTCCGCGCGGCGACGTACTGCGCGTTCGCCGCCGCGGCCAGCGGCGCGGGCTGCGCGAGGTCGTCCGCGAGCTGGAGCGCCAGCCGCAGGTCCTTCTGCTGCAGATAGACCTGGAAGTTCGGCGCGTAGTTGCCTACGACGTCGACGATGTCTCCCGGTCTCTCGAAAGATCGGACGCCGGTCGTCGCCGTCGATCATGAGCTGGCCCTTGGCCTTGGAGATGGGGTTCGCCATCGCCGAGCTGTCGAACATGTCCATGATTTGGGCCTGGTCGAGGCCCGCCTTGTCGGCGAGCGCGAGCGTCTCGCCGAGCGCGGCGATGTAGGTGCCCATCATGATCTGCAGCATCAATTTTGCCCGCGCGGGCCCCTCGGAGGACTCGCCGACGTGCCAGTGCTTCGAGCCCATGACGGCGAGGGACGCGCCCGGCGCCGTCACCTCGTCGAAGAGCGTCCTGTCGCCGCCGCAGACGAAGAGCAGCTCGCCCGCGGCCGCGTCGCGCCAGCCGCCGGACACGGGCGCGGCGAGGAAGCGCGCGCCCGTCGCGCCGACGGCCGCCGCGAGCCTCGCGCCCGTGGCCTCGTCGATGGTCGAGTGGTCGAGGTAGCTCTTGCCCACTTTCGCGGCGGACGCGACGCCGTCGGCCCCCAGGCACACGGCCTCGGAGGCCTTCGGGTCCGCGAGCATGCCGTGCGTCACGCTACAGGCGTCGACGACCTCCGCGGGCGTCGCCAGCGCCGTCGCGCCGAGCGCGACGAGCGGCGCGCACTTGTCGGCGCTGCGGTTCCAGACGACGACCTCCGTGCCTTGCTTCAATAGACGCTGCGCCATCTGCTTGCCCATGACGCCCAGGCCCAGGAAGCCCACGCGCTGGGTGGCCATATTGCAAAGGTTGTGGCACGAGACGCAGGCGCGCGAGCTCGGCCGAGAGCAGATCGAGAGCTGTGGCTTTTTAGCGAGCGTCTCGGACGTCAAACTGGACGCCGTGCCGCATCACGCGCCGGCGTATGGCTAGCGCGCGATCCTCTCACGACCATAACTAACACACGACGACAAAAAACATGAGCAAATCGTCCGTCGTCGTCGGCGGCGGCTTCGTGGGCCTGAGCTGCGCGCTCCACCTGCAGCGCATCGGCCGGCGCGTGACGCTCCTGGACCGATTCGGCGTCGGCCACGCCAGCGCCGCGTCCTTTGGCAACGCGGGCACGATGGCCCGCTACGCCAACGTGCCGACGAACAGCCCCGGCCTGCTGAGACGGTTGCCGGGCCTCCTCAGCGACGGCGACGGCCCGCTGTCCGTGGCCTGGGGCGCGCATCTCGCGAAGATGGCGCCGTGGAGCCTTCTCTTCGCCGCGCACTGCGCGCGGCCCGCCGTCGACCACAGTGCCGAAGCCCTCGGCGCGCTCCTGTCGCGCGCCGAGGCGGGCTACGCGGGCGTCTGGGCCCAGGCGCGCGTCGACCCGGACGCGCACGCGCGCCGCGGCGGCTACCTGCTGCTGCAGCGCACGGGGGAGGCCATGCGCGACTCCGCGGGCGCCGCGGCGCTGCGGCGCGCGCACGTCGCGGACCTGAAGATGGCGCAGCTGTCCGCGGACGAGGTCGCGGCGCTCGAGCCGGGCGTGGCGGCGGCCGCGCGCGGCGGCGGCGCGTGGTACTTCGAGGACGGCTGGTTCCTCGACGAGCCCGCGGCGCTGTTGCGGGCGCTCGCCGCGGGCTTCGCGGACAACGGCGGCGCGCTCGTCGAGGGCGACGCGACCGCGATCGACCAGGGCGCGGACGGCCGGCCGCGCGTGCGCTCGACGGGCGGCACGTTCCCGGCGGACGACGTCGTCGTCGCCGCGGGCGCCCACTCGGGCGCGCTGGCCGCGTCCGTCGGCGATCGGTGCCCGCTGGACACGGAGCGGGGGTACCACGTCGCCTTCGAGCCCGGATCGGAAAATTCGCTGACGCGGGCCGTCTGCGATCCCGCGGCGGGCTTCATCCTGTCGCCGATGCGCGGCGGCCTCCGCGCGGCGGGCAAGGTCGAGCTCGGCGGCCTCGACGCGCCGCCGGACCCGCGGCGCTGCGCGGCGCTCGAGCGCGGCGCGCGCTTCGTCGTCCCCGCGCTCGGCGGCCGCGACGCGGCGCGCGACTGGCTCGGCTTCCGGCCGACGATGCCCGACGCGCTCCCCGTCATCGGCAGGGCGCGGCGCGTGCCCGGCGTCATCTACGCCTTCGGCCACCAACATGTCGGCTGGACGCTGGGCGGCGTCACGGGCTTGCTCGTCGCCGAGCTCGCGGGCGGCGAACCGCCGTCCCTGGACCTGCGGCCCTACCGCCTCGACCGCTTCCGCCCCTACACCGTCGCCCGGCGCGTGCTCGGCTGGTAACGTTTAGCCCCGCTCGAAGGCGAGCACGACGTCGACGGCCGCGGCGACGTCCGCGACGACCGCGTCCGCGCCGCCGGTGTCGTCGCCCGGCCGCCACATGCCGCTCTCGACGAGGATGGACGACCAGGGGTCGCCGGCGCGCTTCGCGCCCGCGATGTCCGTCAGCGGGTTGTCGCCGACCATGAAGACGCGGTCCAGCCCGCCGGCGCGCGCGCCGAGGACGGCCGCGACGTAGTCGTAGGAGACCGCGTGGGGCTTGCCGTAGTCGACCTTGGCCAGCGCCGAGCCCGCGAGCTCGGCGAAGGTCGCGTCGAGCGCCGTCAGGAAGGCGCCGGAGCCGAAGCGGGGCGCGGGGTGCTCCGCGGCGTAGAGAAAGTCCGCGCAGGAAGAATACAAGGGCACGTTTTGCGACGCCGCGGGCGCCGCGCCGGCGCCGAGGTCGCCCGCCGGGACCCCGCCGCTCCGCAGGACGTCGCAGACGACCTGGAGCTCGCGGCCCCAGAGCAGCGGGTCCGTCATGGCGAGGACCGCGCCGAAGGGCCTCTCCAACCAGCCGTCCGGCGGCGGCGGCGCGCCCGCGACGGGCGGCGCGTCGGGGTAGAGCAGCGGGAAGGCGGCGTGGAAGGCCTCGACGGTCACGGCGCTGCGGAACCCGTAGGCCTCGGCGATCTCGCGGAGGTTGCCGTATTTCTTGCCGACCAGGAGCACGTTCTCGTCGCCGTGGTTCTCCGCGAGGGCCCGCATGGGCGTGTGGCTCTGGCAGACCTGCCAGGGCTCGACGGCGACGCCGAAGCGCTTCGCGAAGCCCGCGGCGCGCGCGCCCTCCTCCGTGCCGCCGCCGTTGGTCATGAAGAGGAAGGGGATCCCCGCGGCCTCGAGCGCTTTCAGCGCACCGGGCGCCGCGGGCACCGTCGCGCCGCCGCGCACCAGCACGCCGTCGACATCAAAGGCTACCGCGGACGACGAGGCCGCGCGGCGGCTGACCGACGAGGCCGCGCGGCGGGTGGTGGGCAGCCGGGCGAGGCGAGGGGCTGCTCGCATCATCGTCGAATCGCTGGGTAAACTTCGACTCATCGGATGTGTTGAGGAGGCGATGCAGCGGTCGACGAGTTGCTCAGGTTGGAGCTGTCGCGCCGCGTCCGTCGCCGTCGTCCCGTCGTCCGCGGCCTGGAGCCATGTTCCCGGCCATGCCGCCCGGCTACCAGCCGCCGGAGCCGGCCGCGCCGGGGACCGGGGCGGTCGTGCTCGAGCCCGTGCCACCCTACCTCCACGGCGTGCCGCCGCCGGTGCTCCAGGCCATCCCGCGCGGCGCGGTGAGCAGGATGCCGCCACCGCCCATGCCCGCGCCGCGGCCCATGCCCATTCCCCCTGCATTCCCCCTGCAGCTGCCCATGCGCATGCCCGTGCAGCTGCCCATGCGCATGCCCGCGCCCATGCCGCTCGGGCCGATGCCGCCGCGGCCGATGGCGCCGATGGCGCCGATGGCGCCAATGGCTCCGATGCTCGCGCCGCGGCCGATGATGATGTACGCCGCGGCGCCGCCGCCGCGGGCCGCGCCGCCGCCGCCGCGGGCCGCGGCGCCGCCGCCCGCCGCCGCGCCCGCGTTTAGCAACGACGGCTCGTTCATGGAGGCCATGCGGGCGCCGCCGCCGCGGGCCGCCGCGGCGCCGCCCGCCGCCGCGCCCGCGTTTAGCAATGACGGCTCGTTCATGGATGCCATGCGGCGCCTGCAGGCCGAGGCGTCCGCGCCCGCGCCCGCGCCCGCGGACGCCGCCGCCGAGGCGCCCGCGGCGGACGGCGCGAAGCGCGCCGCCGACGAGGCCCCCGCGGCCGCGCCCGGCGACGACGCGCCCGGCGACGACGCGCCGCCGGCGAAGCGGCGGAAGGCGACGCGCCTGCTCGCGGCGGCGGCCGAGCCGCTCCGCGACGACGGGCCGGCGCCCGCGCGCCTCGCCTACGAGACGCCCGACGGCGCGACGCGCGGCGAGGGCGCCGAGGCGACCGCGCTGGGCGCCGAGGCGCGCCGCGCCGCGCGGAGCCAGCTCGACGCGCAGCCCTTCGACGCCGTGGCCGCCGTGCAGCGCGCCGTCGACGCCGCGCGCCTCGTGAGCCGCCGCCTCGCGAGCGACTAAGGGGCGAATTCTGTGTAATGATAACCACAGCTAAAGCTTCGCGCACGCAATAACTGTCCGTCTCGTTTTACGGGGAGGAGGGCTATGGAGAGCAATGAGATGCGGGAAAATATGCCATATTGGGCGGAGGTGCGGGGACTGGGCCAGGGAGGCCTTTGCCGCGCCTCGGTCGCGCGCCCCCTCGCAAAACCAGGCAACGGCGTCGACCGTGTCGTCGAAGTTGACGTTCGACGTGAATCGTGAGGGCAAAAGTGACGGTTGCGATGCGCCGCGGTGAGCTTGAGGCGACGTCGTCCCGTGCGTGCACGGACGTGCTGTTAGACTTGATGTACGTGGTCACATCGTGCGTGTTGTTTGACGTCGTGCGTGCGCTGCGGCGCCACACCGCCTGCGGTTTGAAGACCGCTGACGGCCGCGCACGAAGGCGCGGGTGTCGAGCCCCGCGGGCACCGCCTAGCTCGCCCCGCAGAGCCCGGAACGAACGCCACACATCATCGTAGCCGCTCGCACTCGACGAACGATCGTTGAGGCTACGAGTTTCGTTCGTCTGTCCGCGCGCGCGGCGCGCCGG